CTCCTGGAGCTGCCTGTCCCACACAGGCCGGCCGTAGCAGCCGCAGCACACGCAAGGTCTTCCAAAGGGCAAGAAAGAAGACCCAGGGAACTACAGACCAATCAGCCTCCCCCCAATCCCTGGAAAGGTGATGGAGCAGCTCATCCTGCATGCCTTCTCCATGCATGTGAAGGATAAGAAGGTGATCAGGAGGAATCAGCATGAATTCACCAAGAGGAAATCATGCTTAACCAACCTGATAGCCTTCTATGATGGAAGCCAGGATGACTGGCTGGGTAGATGAGGGGAGAGCAGTAGCTGTTGTCTGCCTTGACTTTACTGAGGCTTTTGACACTGCCTCCCATAACATCTTCGTAGGCAAGCTCAGGAAGCACGGGCTGGATGAGTGGACGGTGAGGTGGATTGAGAACTGGCTGGATGGCAGAGCTCAGAGGGTTGTGGTCAGTGGCAAAGAGTCTAGTTGGAGGGCTGTAGCTAGCGGTGTCCTCTGGGGTCAATACTGGGTCCGATCTTGTTTAACTTATTCATCAGTGACCTGGGTGAAGGGACAGAGTGCCTCCTCAGCAAGTCTGCTGATGATACAAAACTGGGCAGGGGGCTGTGCTGCCATTCAGAGGGACCTGGACTGGCTGGAGAGCTGGGTGGAGAGGAACCTCCTGAAGTTCCACAAAGGCAAGGGCAGGGTCCTGCACCTGGGGAAGAACAACCCTATGCACTAGGACAGGCTGGGTGCTGACCTGCTGGAGGAGCTGGGAATCCTGGGGGACCACTAGTTGACCGTGAGCCAGCAACATGCCCTTGTGGCCAAGATAGTCAATGGTATCCTGGGCTACATTAGGAAGAGCATGGCCAGCAGGTCGAGGGAGGTGATCCTCTCCAGCAACTGGAGTACTGGGTCCAGTTCTGGGCTCCCCAATACAAGAAAGACATGGAGCTACTGGAGCAAGTCCAGTGAAGGGCTAGTGAGATGATGAAGGGACTGGAGCACCTCTCAGATGAGGAAAGGCTGAGAGCACTGCTGTTCAGCCTGGAGAAGACTGAGGGTGGATCTGATCAGTGTGTATAAGCATCTGAAGGGAGGCTATGAAGAGGATGGGGCCATACCCTTTTCAGTGGGGCCCAGTGACAGGACAAGAGGGTGACAGAGCACTGGAACAGGTTGCCCAGAGAGGTTGTGGAGTCTCCATCCTTGGAGATACCCAAAAGCCGTCCGGACACAATCCTGGGCAACGTGCCCTTGGTGACCCTGCTTGAGCAGGGTTGCACTACATGATCTCCAGAGGTCCCTGCCAACCTCAACCATTCTGTGATTCTGTGAAGGGCTTGGCACCCACCGTGGACTTGTACCGGCCCCCTCCGGCCCCAGTGCAGCCCCTCAGCACAAAACAGGTGGCATCTAGAAAGGAAAAGGAGATACATGAGAAACCAGATAAGATGGCATGTGTGCCGTGGGAGCGTGGAAGTACCCAGACACCAGGCAGTGGTTTGCTGCAATGATAAAGAGATATCCTGCTACATGCTGCCCCTCTCTCTGCTGCTTTGGCATTTAATGCCCCCCTCTTTCATCCTTGCCCAGCTGATACCATGCAGCTGCTTTAAGTCACAGATGACACAGGAATATGCATTTTCCCTCAGATTCTGGTGAATGGGTATTTTTTTCTGTTGAAAGCCTGAGCCCCCTCCTGCCACCTCTGCGAGAAGAGAGGAATGATCATCTGGCACAATGGCGCGAGGCGATGGGGGGCAGAAGGGAAACGTCCCCGGCTTCCCAGCCCGGCAGGCTGCTGGCCCCTGGCAGACGCCCACGAGTGCCCCTGCAGCAGAAGGACCCTCCTGACTCAGCGCTCGCTTTCCAAGGGGCCGTGGCCGAGCCCTCCATGCATCTCACAGTCACCGAGCATCTCACAGGCACTGGGTGGGGGGCAGGCTGGAAGGGGCTGAGCTGACTGACCACACAGGACATGAGTGTGGCAGGTCTTAACTCTTTCTTCTCTTGAGGTGTGGTTAGGACCTCCGAGTGGGACCCCTCCTGGCAACAGCTCGGCTTTTGCCTCGCACATGGACCCTGGCTGGCCCCCCCAGGCCGGGAACTTGGTGCAAGGCAAGGTTGCCATCAAAAACAGCACGGCAGGGCTCAGCTTTCTGCTCCGCCGGTCCCCCGTCACCCAAATGAGCCACAGAGCCACCTCATGACACTGAACAGATGAAGAGCAAACAGATCCCAGCCAAAACCTGGCCATGCTAACCTTCTCCGCACCACACGTGGGGGCGAGCGCGGGCCCCCATCCCCTCGGACACGGCAGGATACTGGAGCCCAGCTGACAGATGCCCGAGAGGCGCCTCTTGAGTGTCCAGCACTGCCACCCCAGCGGGAGGATGGCTGCAGCCCCGTAATGTTCCCAGGCCCTGGACGGGTCGTACGGCTCATCCGGACCCCCGGCTCAGCTCTATTTTTAGCCACTTGTCCTTATTTAGTAGTGAGGCCGGCCGGGAGCATGCACGCAGGGCGCGGGAGCGTGGCGGGGTTACCCAGCCCCGCAGCGACAACTGCTTCGCTACCAGCCCTCAGAGGCTTAAGGGCGAGGAATAAATAGCCCCGTTCCCGCGAGCCCCGTCCTCCTGCCCGCCGCCTGCTGCAGCCGTGCTCTTCTTGGGAGCGAGAGTGTAAGTTATCCTCCAGCACTGGTATCTGCAAAAAAGAGTAAAGAACTACCATGACATGTTAACCCACATCTTTTCAAAAAACACAGACAAAGGCAGGAATGATTTGAAATCACTGCTCCTCCTAAAAGCAGAAGCATATGTGACCTCGAGCCGGCGCTCCCGAGAGCCAGGGGACTCCCCCAGGTACAACCAAAGGAGTCTTGAGACTTTTTTATTGGGCTCCAACACATGCAAGATCCTCTCCAGTGCAAACAATTTGCTGAGTTATCTTGCGCCATGCAAAGCCTGAGTCATGAGGTCTTGCAGATCTGGCCTTTGATTTGCATTGAAGAGAGCCAGCAAAGATTAGCAACAATGTTAAGGACTTCTTTATGTCTCATTTACAGAAGCAAATGACTGCAAATGATGCACGTGTCCAAAGAGCGCAACCACAGACCACCCTCTCCCCACAGGTCTGGGCTGCCAGCCTCGCTGAGCAGGTCCAGCCTGACCCCACGCAGAGACCCGTGGGGCCTCCTTGGCCTGGGGAAGCGTCCCCGCAGACTGGCTCCTCACCCACATGTTGGGCTGGCCAAAAATCTTCCAGCAAAATCTTTTTTCCTCCCTTTTTTCTTCTTTTTTTTTTTTTGGCTGGAAGACTAGGTTTTGAAAAAAGAAATATATAAGAAAGAATGACCGCATCAAGTATCTGCTTCCTGCAGCAAATCTTATTTTCACCTAGCAAATGCACATCCTGCAAATCGTTGCAGGTACAAACTTTAAACTCTCACAGTGGGGAGCGAGCACCCCAGGCGCCCCTGGAGCAGCACGAGGGCCGGCGGGCCCCTCGGGGGAAGCCTCTGCTGAGAGCGGAGACTCCGTTCTCCCCCCCCCGGGCGGG